CAGAATCTAAATTTCAAAAATTAAACAGTTTGAACAGAAATAAATAGAGCAGAGGTTATTCTAACAAGTGTATTAAAAGGTCAATTGTAATACACTTGTTAAATACTGTTTGAAAGAGTAAAATACACACACACACATCAAATCTAGAATTGCTCATGTAATTTGCTATGAAGTAACTTTACGTAGCCTGACATTAGTCTGTATAATTTTTCCTGCAAATAAACCTGTAGCTTCTAAAGATTACAGAGGTGTAACAGAAAGATAGAATATCTAAGGTATAGTAGCCATGCATCCTAACTTATTCTATCTTAATATTCCATAAAAATAATTACCGAAAACTACTGCAGAGACTGGGGAAGACCTTTTGTTTTGTTTCTGGACTAGTATCTCAAGGCTTTAAAGTAGCTTTTGAGAAAAGATCTTTGGTTCTTTCAGACAATTTTATAACCTATAGTCTCAATTACCTGGGTTATCTAAGCATTAGTTTCATAGTTAGAAGGGCTTTTCTCATTTTGGGGTTTACAAACCTTTTGCAAATCTGAAGAAAACATGTATGTACTCATGTAAAAAGAAGGAATCAAAATCTCCCCCCCCACAAGCCCATTTGTGAATTTCAGAATAAGAATTCTATAAATTTACTCCTTCATTGGCCCCACCAGATGGGTTCCAGCAAGACTGAGTAACATAACAGTTGAAAAAGCCACATCTTCCCCAAGCACTACAGGACATTCCTTGCTAGGCCCAATCCTCTGCAGGCAGAGGGGATTCTTATAATATAAACTATCTTCAGACAAAACCTATGCCATTTCTAATTTTTATATCCTTGGCTTTTAGCATGATTCCTGAAAGAATAGAACTCAAAAAAAGTTGTAAAATGAATCTATAACCCATACTAGAGCTGGCAGAAGGTTTTGTGACCATCTGACTCAAAAAACATCACGGGGGTCAATAAATGTCAACTTTAGCGAAGGATCTTCTATACATTTGTTTGCTAGTAGTTTTTAACTACTAGCTTGGAATATGAACACAAAAAAAATATGTAAACCTGATTACTCAGGCAATTTAAATCATTTGTGCAAGACTTAATTATTAGTAAAACACAATCTGAAATCAACTGATCAAGAACCACCACCTCATTTTTGAAGCAAATGGGATCCAGTTAAAGTCACTTGCCCTGCACTGCACTGGTACTCAGATCAGACTATTACCTTACATATTCTGTAACATTTTATAAACTATTCCCAAATTATTTTATACACATTAATTCAGAATTCTGAAAATATGTCATTGTTCAGTAGATCTGTTTAGCTCCATGAGCGAGTATTTCCCAAATGACCCATGTGAGATGTTCTAACATCATGCTGAGTAAAAGATAAATTTCAGGCCGGGCGCGGTGGCTCAAGCCTGTAATCCCAGCACTTTGGGAGGCCGAGGCTGGTGGATCACGAGGTCAAGAGATCGAGACCATCCTGGTCAACA